TGCCACCCGCTGACGTAGACGGGGAGTGCCAGGCTGGGACTTCACCCTCGTCCTGGCCCGTGCCAGGATCCGGGAAGCACCAGGATTCCCAAGGCTCCAGGATCCCTGAGGCCGCTCCTGGGAGCCAGAGACTGTGGATTTACCCCCTCTAAAGCGACACACCCCCCCCAGCCTCAGCCCTACCAAAGCCTCCCTATTAATAGCCCCACTTGCCGGGTCGGGAATGCCGAGCCCCCTGCACGGCCCCCTGCGGGCTCCTCCCGGGGATCCCGGCCCCTTCCCTCCCTCATCGCGTGCTTCCTGTGCAGATCCAAGGCGGAGATGGGCCACACGTGCCGGGGCACCATCAACCTGGCCACGGCCAACATCACCGTGGAGGATTCTTGCAACTTCATCATCTCCAACGGCGGCGCCCAGACCTACCACCTGAAGGCCAGCTCCGAGGTGGAGCGGCAGCGCTGGGTCACCGCCCTCGAGCTCGCCAAGGCCAAGGCTGTCAAGATGCTGGAGGAGTCAGGTATGGCATTGCTGGGATCCCACGGGAGCCAGAGCAGGGGCACGGTGCCCTCAGGGTGAAATCCGGTGTCCAACAGGACCCAGGGCAGGATCCCAGTGTCCCCAGGGCAGGATCCTGGTGTCCCCAGGGCAGAATCCCGGTGTCCCCAGGGCAGGATCCCAGTGTCCCCAGGGTGGGGTGATGGTGCCCCTCAGGACAGGATTCCAGTGACCTGACAGTGAAATCCCAGTGCCCAGCAGGACCTAGGATAGGATCCTGGTGCCCTAGGCAGGATCTCAGCGCTCTCAAGGTGAAATCCTAGTGCCCCATAGGACCCAGGGTAGAATTCCAGTGTCCCCAGTGCAGGATCCCAGTTCCCCGCAGAGCAAGACCCCAGTGCTGCACAGAACCCAGGCCAGGATCCCAGTTCTCCATGGAACGCTGGGCAGGATCCCAGTGCCCTGGGCAGAATCCCAGTGTCCCACAGGCCGCAGGGCAAATTCCCAGTGCCCTCAGGGTGAAATCCTAGCGCCCAACAGGACCCAGGACAGGATCTCGGTGCCTCAGCACATGATCCCCTGTACCCCGCAGAACCTGGGGGAGGATCCTAGTGCAGGATCCCAGTGCAGGATCCCAGTTCCCCACAAGACCCAGGACAAAATCCCAGCGCCCCACAGCACCCAGGGCAGGATCCCAGTGCCCTGCAGGACCTGGATCAGGATCCCAGTGCCCCATGGGACCCAGGGTAGATCCCAAGGCAATATCCCAGTTCCCCACAAGACCCAGGGCAGGATCCCAAGGCAATATCCCAGTTCCCCACAAGACCCAGGGCAGGATCCCAAGGCAATATCCCAGTTCCCCACAAGACCCAGGGCAGGATCCCAAGGCAATATCCCAGTTCCCCACAAGACCAAGGGTAGGATCCCAGCACCCTGGGTGGGGTCCCAGTGTCCCACAGGCCCCAGATCAGGCTCCCAGTGCCCCGCAGGCCCTAAGGCAGGATCCCAGCCCCCTCAGGGATTTGGGGATCCCCCGTGCTCCCCTTGGCAGCCCCCCCATCGCCCCCCGGTGCGGCGGGCGCTCAGAACCGGGCGTACGGGACAATCTCCCCCCGCTGCATCCCAACCCACGGTTCCCATCCCTTCCCCGTTCCCTCAGACGACTCCGGCGACGAGTCAGTGTCGCAGACGGACAAGACGGAGCTGCAGAACACACTGCGGATTCTGTCCAGCAAGGTGGAGGACCTGAGCACCTGCAACGACCTGATCGCCAAGCACGGCACGGCCCTGCAGCGCTCGCTCAGCGAGCTCGAGGCCTTGCGCCTGCCCCCCGAGAGCACCGACAAGATCAAGCAGGTCAACGAGCGGGCCACGCTCTTCCGCATCACCTCCAACGCCATGATCAACGTGAGGCTGCCTTCCCTGGGGGAAACAGGCGGGAAAACCAGCGGGAGAACCAGCGGGCACTCGTGTTTGGGTTCGGTTTTGTCCCCGCAGGCCTGCAGGGATTTCATGCTGCTGGCGCAGACACACGGGAAGAAGTGGCAGAAGTCGCTGCAACAGGAGAGGGATCAGCGGATCCGGCTGGAGGAGACGCTGGAGCAACTGGCAAAGCAGCACAACCACCTGGAAAGGGCGTTCCGGGGGGCCACGGTGCTCCCTGCCGGCACGCCCGGCACCGGCGGCTCTGGGAAAGGTGGGATGGGACGAGGCTGCTTTCCCTGAGCTTCCCTCACTCCGCTGATCCCAGGGGGTGGGTCTGTCTCGCGTCACCTGTGCAGCCAAGGGATTTTGGCACCGACGGCACACTCCAAATTGGCTCCCTCTGACACCCTGTGGAGTTGCCGGGGTGGTGTGTGACCCCTCTGGCAAAGGCAGGATGGGACAAGCCAGGTGTTCCCCAGCTGCTTTCCTGAGCCAGGCTCAGCTTCCCTCAGTCCCCTGATCCCCAGGGCTGGGTCTGTCCCCTGTCACCTTGTGTACCCAAGGGATTTTGGCACTTAAAACCGGCTCCAAAGTGGCTCATCTGAGCCTTACCTGTGTGACCCCTACCTGCTGGTGACAGGGGCCTCCCAGTGTCTCACTGGTGGGAAAACTGGGAGCGATGTCCCTTCCTTAACAGCACTGTCCCCTTCCCAGATCTGTGCTGCCCCTCCAAAGGTGACATGAGCGACGAGGACGACGACAACAACGAGTTCTTTGACGCCCCCGAGATCTTCCCCATGCCTGACATGATGGGCCACAAGTGAGTTCTGGGGGGCTCTGGGGGGGCCCCACTGCCTGCACCTCCTTGGAAGCGATCACCCTGTTTTCCACCCTTTCCAGGAGAACTGGGAGCAACATCAGCGGCACCAGCAGCGACATCAGCCTGGATGAGCAGGTGGCACGGGGGTTTATGGCTTTGGGGCGGGAACAGGCCTGGGCTGGGGGTCCCCGAATTCCCACAGAGGGGTTTTGGGGGGTCACAGTGATGAAACAGCCCTCGAGGGGAAGAGGGCTGGGCTGAGAGTACCCTAATTCCTACAGAAGAGTTTTGGGGGGTCACAGTGGTAGAACAGCCCTTGTCTCCCCCCTCCCCAGTACAAGCACCAGGTTGAGGACACCAAGAAGGAGAAGAGAACCCGCATTCCCTACAAACCCAACTACAGCCTCAACCTCTGGAGCATCATGAAGAACTGCATCGGGAAGGAGTTATCCAAAATTCCCATGCCAGTGAGCGCGGATACATCCGGCGGGTGGGCTCGGGGCTCCCCAAAAAGCCCCTTTTCTGACCCATTTCTGCCTTGCAGGTGAACTTCAACGAGCCACTGTCGATGCTCCAGCGGCTGACAGAGGACCTGGAGTACCACGAGCTCCTGGACCGGGCGGCCAAGTGCGAAAATTCCCTGGAGCAGCTGTGCTACGTGGCCGCCTTCACCGTCTCCTCCTACTCCACCACCGTCTTCCGCACCAGCAAACCCTTCAACCCGCTCCTGGGGGAGACCTTCGAGCTGGATCGGCTGGAGGAGAGCGGGTACCGCTCCCTCTGCGAGCAGGTGTGGCCAGCCCCGCCCTCCCGGCCTCTCTTATTCCCTTGGGATGGCCAGCACTCAGCTGTTCCCAATCCCTGTCCAGGTGAGCCACCACCCCCCGGCCGCTGCCCACCACGCCGACTCCAAGCACGGCTGGACGCTCCGCCAGGAAATCAAGATCACCAGCAAATTCCGAGGGAAATACCTCTCCATCATGCCTCTAGGTGAGCATCCTGGGATTTTGGGAGCCGACCGAGGCTCCGGGCGTGGTTCCTGACACAGTTTGTGCCCCACCCTCAGGTACCATCCACTGCGTCTTCCACTCGTCCGGCAACCACTACACGTGGAAGAAGGTGACCACCACCGTGCACAACATCATTGTGGGGAAGCTGTGGATAGACCAGGTGGGAAATCACGGATATGGGAGCGCCCTGGTCCTGTATGGATCCCTTGGGAGCAGGGTGGGGGTGGGTCTGACTGTCACCTTGCCTCTGCAGTCGGGTGAGATCGAGATCATCAACCACAAGACGGGTGACAAGTGCAACCTCAAGTTTGTCCCTTACAGCTACTTCTCCCGGGATGTGGCAAGGAAGGTAGGGAAAACAGGGAAGCGCGGGACATCCCGGGGTGCCTGTGTCCTGATTGGTGCCACCCCCTCTCCCTCCAGGTGACCGGGGAGGTGACGGACCCCTCGGGGAAGGTGCACTTTGTCCTGCTGGGCACGTGGGACGAGAAGATGGATTGCTACAAAGTCCAACTGGGAATGGGGGACAATGGAGCCGAGGCCCGGCCCCGAGCCCACGAGTCCGAGGACAGCCGGGTGCTGCTGTGGAAGCGGAACCCGCTCCCGTGAGTCGGGAATGCGGGATGAGG